TATTCTACGTAATTCCATGTAGGAGTCTCTTATGGACTAGCAGAAACTGAATACAGTCAAGAATAGCTGTGTTCCACAGACAGATCCTCTTGTTACACTCCAAGTCTCCTAACCTGCCAGCATGAAATATGCTTTTCAACATTCAGACCTGCTAATATATGCAGTGTCTGCAAAGGTTATAGTTGCCATTTGGGTTGACTGCAGGAACTGAACTGGAGCATTTATCTAGAGGAACCCCTAATGATTGGCAAGGCTATTAATTTCAGAGCTATGACAGAGTTGCAGCAAATATTGACTACTTACAAGCAAAAAATATGGTACAAATGACTGAAATGTGAAATGCATATATTTTGATGAGTCTGCCTATAACTAACAAATCAGCACTATTTTGAATACAGCATCTATTTACAAGATGTCTCTGTGGGAGCCACTTGCCAATAATACCATCCTCCTGCATAGATCAGATGTAGGATTTTGCATCTTTACCTTTTAGAAAGAGAGACTCCATCCCTTCAACCATGATAGCAAGTGCTATCTGCTGTATAGATTAACCACTAGATGCACATTTTCCCAGCGACTTACACAAATATATCCAATTCAGCAGTAGATTATTGGAAACCAGGAATCCTGGACTATTTCTGGCTCTGAGAGGGGATTGAAATTCATAGCAATTAAAAAGTAAACTAAACTGAACAAGGTTGGGTTATCCTAGCTAAAAAGCAGCTTTGTGCTAGGTGGTGGGTGGAAGTTATGTTAGGGATATAGGATCTGTGCCTGGAATTGTTATGCAAGTAGTTTTCTAACTTAGTTTTATATTTATATTACATGTGTTAAAAAACTGATTGATACTGCAACTGTAATGTTTCAGAGTTAGGAAAACCTGGGCTTCGGGTTGTCCTTGAAACCTTGATTTAGCTATCTCATATATGTGCCGTGATTCATATTTAATTAAGAACTGTGTACTACAGATCCCCCCAGCTCATTCAGTGAACAAGGAGTTATTCAGTACTTCCTTTTATCCTTCGTTTGGTGTGTAGTCCTAAATCTTTTATTCCACAGTGCATGCCACTTCTATACCCCAGTGCATTCGAGTCACATGCCAAATGTAGAATTATTAATGCCCTTCTGGCTATTTAGCAACCAGACTCTAACATCCTTAGAGCATTTGGTAACCAGGCTGTAACAAATGTCTATCAAGTATGCAAACATCTGGGCCAAATCAGGCATATTTCACTGTGAAAAGTCAGTCATGTCCCTGATATCAAGGCAACCTCCTTTCTAAATTACAAGTCCCAACTTCACAGCACAGTTGGTAATAGAACAACTCAAATAAGATTTTTAACCCAGTTCCTTCAAGACGATCAAAACAGTGTGATTTTTCCCTGGAAAAAGTAGAACCATTTTTTCATGAAATTTTCATATAACATTCACCTGAAGTAGATACTTGCCTTGGTAAACTTCCACTCCATAAATGATAAATTAATGATAATCATGACCTAGCTTTTCTATAGTTCATTTGTCAGCGCAGAGCACTTCACCATCCCCATTTTAGTGACAGGAAAACCAAATACAGATTTAGGTGAAGGATAGACATTGCATTTGTCTCTGGACAAATTGTACCCATGTTTGTCCTGGAACAAAAATATTCCAGGACTGGTGTGTACATACATCACCCTTTTACTCAGGGTGATTAGAGCGGCTGAATACATGGCTGCTTTTTGGCCACTGATTCAATGATGCAGTCCTGGGTCAAACTGTTAGTATTTCTTATTCTGTGAACCTTTTTAGGATTTCTCCTAGGACAACGGACATGGACATCTGGATGTTTGTACTTTGTCCTGGGATAAGATCCTGGGACAAAAGCAACATCTACTTATAGCCCTAGGGATTTTCTCCATGTCACCCTGCAGAGCTGGGAATACAACTAGTCTCTCAAGCTGGCAGTCTAGTGTTTAGGGTCTTATACTGGGAAGGGTCAGCAAACCTTAACTACAGACTTCAGCACTTATAAGGAAGGAGTATTCATTGGCAGTTCCCTGGATGCTTTCTGGAGTTGTGTTCAGTAATAAAAGTAGTATATTGCATGGGAATATAAACAGCAGTGAAGTTTGTCTTTTTCCTCCAAGCTCTGGGAATGGTCTCCTGGGTACAAAATGCCTTGTATTTCTGTTTCTTTCTTTCACTCTCCCACTATTGTTTGTGACATAGCAGATATGTCAGCAGATTTACTTGGCACAGAAATTTGCCATCGTAGTTGAAAAGTTGTAAAGTGCTCTACAAGCAAACCCTACTTATGTTTAGCCAGTAATCTAAGAATTGGCACAAAAGAAGCCATAATGTACACATAGGCAGATTCCTGGGTCTGCTTATGTTCAGTTTCTTACTAATGGAGCAAAACAAAAATGAGACAATCCAGTGAAGATTTGCCCTGCAGAGGTGATTTCTGAATCAATGTTTCAATTGAAGCATCATGAAAATAATGCTCATATGTTACATGTTATATTGGGGTTTAATGGAGATCTTTACAAAAATAAGTTTAAAATTCCTCTTAACTGAAATCTGTAACTGTGACAGGGGGTTGTCTCGGTGCCAGTCAAAGTACCAGCCCACCCACCTGTCTTGGGCAGTTTGCCCTAATTCACCCTCCACGCTTTGATATAATAATACTAGGTGTAAAATACAAGAGGCTGCCCATTTAATGCCCCAGTGCCTAGGGCGTTGTACATGGCTCCAACCTCCCCTTTACCATGTTCCATGCCTTGCAGATGGCATTCATATCACTCCTAACTCCCCCAGCCCCATTGCTGGGCTGTACTAGGCCACTGGCCCAAACTATCCACTATTACTCCCCTGGCCCCACTTGGCCTCAGGCATCTGGAGACTTACCTTGGCCACAAGCCCCCCTCACTGGGGCCTCTACTCACACACGTACTCTATGCCTCTCATCAGGCTTCTAGCCCCCTACACTGTACCCCTCACTAAGGTCACTATTCCACCTCCTCACTGGGGCTATGAGCCCTTACGTCCCGTGAGCCTCAGATGTCTGTAGATGTGCCCAGACCCACTCTTGGCTTACAGCCTACTTGGGCCTCAGGCGCCTATAGGCATACCTGGACCTCACTCTTGGCCTGTCCCTAGGCCTCCCTCTGGTTTAGGCCTTGGGCATAAGGCCCTCCTGGCCTCTGTGGTCTTGCTCCAGCCTCACTCAGGCTTTGGGCATCAGACCCCCCTGGCCTCCATGTTGTTGCCCAAGCCTGTTGCTTTTTGCTCAAGGTGTGCTCTCCTAGCCTTTCGTCTCCACAGGGTCACCCCACTGAGGCTTTGCAGCACCCTACACTTGCTGTTCACTAGTGAGGTACTGGTATGGCATTTCCTGAGGACTGCCCTGCCACAAGCAGCCCCACCACCCCATACTCCCCAGCAGGGTGTACTTTTAGATCATTCCCTGAGACCAATGTAGGCCTACCTGCCCTGGTCTTTCCTCACCCCTATGGGCTCCTGGGCTGCTCTCTCTTCTGGCCCCAACTCACTGTTGCAGTCTCTCTCTCAAGGCTCCCTCTCACTGGCCCCAACTTTTTCAGACCCCTTATCAGACACCTCCCATCAGAAGGGTGTGCTTTCACCTCTGTCATTACAGTTTGCTGGCCGGCTGAGTGCCTAGCCTCTTTTAGATAGTGATGTTCCCCCCATCAAAGGGACCTTCAGCCTTTTTAGGCTCCGGCCCTGCTTCCATGCCAGTTAGGGTGCCAGATTGTTCTCCATAACCCTGACCTGCCCCTCACGGTGCACTTAATTGCTCTTCAGCCTTTCAGCTCTGGCCTCCTGGCTTTGACCAGTCGAGAATCCCTAGCAGTAGTGTAGCAGCAGCTGACCTTCCTACTCAGCAGGCATCCCTCTTTAGGCCCCACCATAGAGCCCTCCTTTCCTGGGCTGGGCTGGCCTGGTACCCCAGATATCTTACATGAGGCAGCCATTTGCTCTGCTGGGCTCACCTGAGCCCCTGGTCTCACCCCTGCCAGTTCTAATCAGGGGCTTGCCAACCCCCCCGTGTAGGCCCATGACTTTTGCAAGGCTAGCTGCGCTCTTCCCTAGGCCCATAGCCTTCTCTCCAGGGTTTTGGTCCCTAGGAATCTCCTCCTTCCCTATAGTTCCTACCCTGCGCCTCCAGATGTACCTGGGAGCAGCATATCTCAGGCTGGTAAGATGTTACTCCAGCAGCAACAACTGCCAGCTCTGCCCCTCAGGGCCTCCTCTTATGCTGAGGCTCCACAGGCCAGCTCCAGTCAGACGGCCTGCTGGTTGTCATGTGACCTCCTGATTGGCTCTGCAATCTCCTGCAGGCTGCCTTACAGCCTGCTCAGGGCCTTAAAGTGGCAGGCGCCCACAGTAGCAAAACCTCATGACCAGCAACACTAATACTCTAATATAAATACCTATGTGTGTCTGTCTGCCCGTAACACTTTATTCACGCTCTGATTGGCTGTCTTGGCAGTCAGTCAGAGTGCCCTACACAGACAGGGACAGACATCAGAGCGCCACCATGACCGTGGGGACTGAGGTGCAGGAGTAGAGCTGGCCTCACCCCCTTCCCCTGCTCCTTGGAGGCAGAGGGGGACAACGGGGACTGTAGTGCTGCAATAATGGAGGTGATGAGGGGGCAGGGGAGGCCAGCAGTGCCGGCCTCACCCCACCAGGTCTGCTTCTTGGAGCCAGGGGCCAGCACCCCCCCCCCCAAAAGCTGTCAGGGAGGGGAGGTGGCAGGGAACAGGGGAGGGAGGGGAACAGGAAGGGGAGGGGGGTTACAGCCCAAAGCAGCAGGAGGGGAGAGGGGGAACAGCCCTGGCCTGAGGCGGGGGGGAAGGGACGCAGGCCTCTATCCCTGCCCACCCCCTATCATTCTTGATGGGCAATTGGCTAGTACAACTATATTTACATTTAGCTAAATCAGAGGTTTGAAATCATCCAGTTTATGTGGAAATAAATACCTTTGCGTTTCACAGGGTGCAATGATCTTTCAAATACTTCAATCAAATTCTCAGCATGTACTAGTGTATGAGAACCTCTCTCTCCAAAAGAAAGCATTGGCTTCTATTCCCTTGCAAGAGTTAAAAGAGAAGGCCCAAGAAAAACTAGTGCAAGCCAGGAAAATTGACAAAGGTAAGAGTTTGAACTATCAATTTATGTAAAACTAGAAATATTGGGTCAGATATCTGGGGAATACTGTGCATTCTGTTTAAGGTAGCATTAAGGCATGTTTCTGCAAATGGATAGTACTTGGTTTAAGTTAGGATGGTATTCAGAATTTATTTAGTAATCCACATGATTCAGTGAGTTTACCACCTTTGTCAAAAAAGATCATTGCTTTGAAATTGACAGTAAGTTCTAATTTCCTTTTGCTTAGTTTTCTTTGTCTGGGATCATATCAGATGAAGTTTTGAGCATCATATTTCTTCTGTCCCTCAGGTTAACCTCTTGAGTTACCAGCGTATCATATGCATTCAAAATCCATGTGTTAACAGTGCTGAGACAAAGTAATATATTATATACAATGAGATAGGGATTGGAGGGATTTCGTAAGTTCAGTTCACGTGAGCATTTCTTGAATTTATTAACCCTCTGTCTTGTTTTACTTTCTCTGTCTCTTGTTAATTCATTTCTGTATTTTGAATATTTTCTCTCTCGTTTCTGTTATTTTTCATGCTTTTTTTTTATTTTTAAATATTTTAAATTGTTGTCCATCTGTCCTTTGATCTGCCTACATGAGACCTTCCAACAACACTGAAATAAATAGGATTTTCATTTCTCTACATTAAGAAAGTTAGTAATTTTTTAATGTATATGCATGGGCCAAGAAATTTTAAAAATGTATAAGAACATTAAATTAGGATTTTCTGGTCATGTTTGGGCACTTAAGTCTGGGATTTTCAAAGTATCTGAGTTGCTTAAGAGAGTAGGCCTTCCATTGACTTCCCACTGCACAGCCTGATGAACATATAGGGCATGGTCAAAGCTTTTGGAGCCCTCTTGACTTTTGAAATTTGTGATGGGCTGTTTGCTTATCAGTTTTGTGCTTACCTTTGTGGTGGTGTTATAGTGAGAAGTAAGGAGGCCCTGAATTTGTTGCTTTTAGCATACACGAGCATTTTAAGTATGAAACTACTTAGAGAAGAATCAAGACAAAGGATCTAAAATTTTGCTAACCATTAGGAGACCAGTGAAAAAAAGCTATAAAACATCCTCTTTAGACAATTAGAAAAATTAATAAGGAATGTACTAGTGACTAGGGCTATGCGAAACTTTGGCAGCTGTTTCCTTTCAGAGGTGTTAGAGGTAGGCCTGCAGAACTATCATGGAAATTATGCTGATAGAGTTATAGTCCTTTGAACAAGAATGCAATGCTTGACTCCACTCCCTATGGCCACATCCTGTTTCAGTGAGCAATTTAAACTGTCCATAATTGTGTGTGCTTCTAACTTTTGTGGTATTTGGGTCTTTCCAAACAATAATTTCTTGTTTGGTTAGATCATATTTGTCATTGTTTGCATTCTGTGCCTTTCATGGAAAAATTGTTTTATGAACCAGAAGTAGAATATTCACATAATAGTAACAGTTTTCTTTTCAGAAATGAACATTGTTATATTTGCTGTTCTCCAACAGAAAGAAAAAGTGTCCTCTTAGTGTAATAACCTGGTTCAGCTTTGGCAGAAAGCTAGAGAGAAAAGGAATGGAAAAAGAGACACAAACTATCCAGCATGAAGCAGCAGGTTTTATTTATGTACAAATATTAATGTAAATGTTTCATTTGTACAGTGCTCAAATCAAAAGACAGTCTCAAATACCAGCCTTGGTTTGCTTAACAGATATCCTTTAGCATGCTCTTCATAATTCTGGCACCCTGCCTTTGATGGGATGTAGTGATACACGAAATATTATGAGCTAGGCCAGTGGTGCTCATCTTTTCCAGCCCCACAGGATGGATCATTGGAAAGCAATATTGGAAGGGATCTCACAAGGCCAGCCTCCTTTTCAATGCAGAATCATCTCTGACTAAGCCTTCCCAACCAAGTTTCTGTCTAACCTGCTCTTGGAAACTTCCAAGGATGGAAGTTCTACACTTTCTGTAGGTAGCCTGCTTTAATGCTTGACAGCTTTCAGAGTCAGAAAGTTCCTCCTAATCTCCACCCTAAATTTCACCTGATGTAGCTTGAGGCCATGAGTGGCACAGGGCCAGTCTACAAGCCAGATTTTGCAGACAGGGCCAGTCCATGGGCCTGATCTAGCATGTGGTCAGCGCACATGCACCATGCTACCCTGCACACCCTGTGTGTGGGACTGTATCATCCAGCCCATGGGGCACCCCATGGGTCTGGAACAAAGGCAGCATTAATTGTCATGGGACCAGAAGCCACTGCAATTAATGCTGCCACCACTCTCGTGCCACCAAATGTCCAGACTCTCGAGTAGCCCTGGAGGCTGTGCAATTACACAGCCCTGCAGGCTGGAGGCTGAGCACCACTGAAACAAGCCAGTGTTGAGTCCAAGAACAGTTAAAACAAGGTTTACATGGTGTAGCAGAGAACTGGATAAGCATGTCCATATCTGCAACTTAGGTGTTTTTGTTTTAAATCAGGATGTTGAGTAATCAGCACAACTTTGTTTTTAATACAGGATTTTTATTATAAAAATACCACGTTACCATTAGGCCAATCTGTAAATGCAATTACAAGCAAAATATCATGCCTTGATGGAGTGGAAGCCAACCTTTTTGGCAGGCATGGCACAGATGTGCCTGGCACCCTGCCCAGTACAACTCTGATCTCCTTTCTCTGCTCAATCTGCTGCTCTGCTTTCTACTCTCTACCCTGTGCTCCCTGCCCAAGCTCTTCATCTGCTTTATCCTTCCTGTCCTGTGATCCTTTTCTGATCTCCTGCTCTGATTTCTGCTTCCTACTGTATGTGCTGCTGTGTTGCCTGTCTCCTCCCTGATCTGCTGTGTGCCACTTACGACGCCTGTGCTTCAGGTTAACCACCCCTGCTTTAATATGTGCAACTGCTACACAGTCCTGTTGACAAAAAGAGCAATAGCCATTTTTGCATAGAACATTTATGAATTGAAAAAGAAGACTTATTTAGGAAAAAGTATCCAGCTACTGTGAAGGCCACTTAACCAGGTTCTAGTCCTGGGACAACTTTCTGATTTTCAAATGAGCCCACCCTATATGACTTAGACTGTCTAGATTTAATCTGAAGGCTCCAAGGAGTACAGGCATAACAACATGGTCAGATGTCTGGGGCAACTGCCATACACAGGAGCAGAAGCCTTTTTTTGCCACTCCCCCATTCACCCAAGTTGGTGCCCAGGGTGACTGCTCCAGTCATCCCATTCAAATTACACCACTGCTAAGGAGACAGGTCAGAGAAGGGATGGGACTCAAGATTGGATTTTAAAAATCAAAGCAAATAAGGTAAAGTGAAGCTGTTTTCAGATGGTATAATAGTGATCATATAAGAAAACCACTTCCACCTACTGTGTATACACATGAAAATGGAACAGAAGAGTCTGCTACTCAAACATAGAGGAGGTGTCTGGAAAAGAGAATGATAAAGATATGGCACCAGAAATTCTAGCTAAGTACAAACAGTCAAAAAGCCCAAGGCTGAAATCGATTCAGTCTTCACAGGTTAGTCTAAGCTGCAGAGATTGAACTGACAAAAAGGTAAACAGACATTCACTTTTGATTCTGGAAATGCAGCCATATGTGTGCTATACCTCAGGCCAGAAGCTGGGGGGTCCTAGAGCATGCCTCTCTGCTCTGCTGGACCAAGGCTAGCCCACCCATCCTGTGAGGGGGGGATTTGCAGGGGAGGTGCAAAGCATCCTGGGATGCTGGGGAACTGAGAGTTAAAATGAATCTGGTGAGGATCTGAGATAGAAGTTCAATAAACCATTTTAACTTAAATCAGTTAAGTGTGATACTATTATCCATCCAGGTTTATCTTAAATTGGTTTAGGCCATTTTGAAAGCAGTTTATGTGCACTGAACTTCTGTTGTGTTACAGATTTGAACTGGTTTCTTATCACTTATTCCGGTTTATATGTAATTTCTGTCCCTAGCCTCTGTGTCAGGAGTGGACAATTATTTTGGGTGCAGGGCCACATAATGAGTTTTGGTGAGCTGTTGAGGGCCACAGGGGTAGCCCCATCCTTTGACAGGTGCCCTACCCCCTGGTTGCCATCTTGGGACCAGAAGCCCCACCCCCTAACCCCCTGCCTTTGCCACTAGAAGTCCTTCTTCTTGCCCCCAGAAATACTCCTTTTGGGAAAGGGGTTTGCCATCTTGGAACTGGAAAAAAAACTAATTGTATACTAAAAATCAAACATTGACAGTAACATATTTTAATTTTATTTTAACAAATATTTTTGTCCTAATTTGTGTGCATTTGTGTGGTGTATATAGAGGTGGTGGCATAATAGCTCAAAATGAGGTCTTACTCTTGTATATTGTAGAGGAGTGTCGGGGTGGATATGGTGTTTGTGGGGGGATGTGTGTGTAGGGGATGATGTGTGGCTGTGTGTGGGTGGGTGGCTATTGCGGGGTTTGTGGGGTGTGTGGAGGGGGATGGGTGTGAGGAGTGTGGTGAGGTGTATGCACATAGCAGCGAGCGAGATTCCTCCCAGAGGCATACAGGTGTCTGTGTGGGATTTTTGGTGTGGGTGGAAGCAGGTGGTATTTGTGGAGTATGTGATTGTGTGGGGGGGGAGGTTGTAGTTGTGAGGTTTATGGGGGAGGGTTTGTGGGTATGCTGGCATGTGCATGGGAGCCCCCTGCATGGACACACCCCCCGAGCCAGTCAGCACCCGTCCCCACCCTGTAACAGCCCAGAACCCACACGCCCTCCAGTACCTCCCTGCCACTGCCAACAGTACGCAGCCCCAATGTCCCCCACGCTCAGTCTGGACTTACCCCTGCCAGAGCAGATAAGCAAGAACCTGTGCACAGCCCTAACCTGCCAGCCCCGCACTGCCCACCCGCGGCACATCCTGCTGCCCCCTGGGCATGCAGCAGGGCTGGGACAGCTCCGCAGCTGGACTGTTGCTCAGCACAGGGGAAAGCAGCCCCTCCCTTTCCCACTGCTGGCAGTTCCCTGCTGCAGCCACCCAGAGCCCATGCTGCTCTGGGCTGCTCTGTCTCCTCTGTGCTGCCACCACTGCCCCGCGGGGCAACCTGGAGGTGGCGATGGTGGCATCCCCATGCAGGCTCTGGGCGGCTGCAGCAGGGAACTGGTGGGAGGGGGGAGAGGCCGCTTTCCCCCCATGCTGAGCAACAGCTTTTGTCCTACACCACTGCTGCTGAGCCTGGGTAGGCGAGCCCGGAGCAGCATGGGGTGTGTGGGGTCAGGGCTGTGCGCACAGGTCCCTGCTGGTACCACAGGGTTGGGGCCAGGGACAGCAGCAGCCAAGAGGAGACTGAGTTGCCTAGAAAGGCAGTCTAGCTGTGGAGCCGCCCCAGCCCTGCTGTGTGTCCACGGGGCAACAGGACATGCCACAACTGGACTGTGCGTGGGCCAGGGGACCAAGGGACCTGCCATGGGCGGGATCTGGCCTGTGGGCCATCTTTTTTGCTCACCCCTGCTCTATGTCTAGGCAAAGTAAATTGGATTGAAAGGGTATATTCCCCAAACAGCATTAATGAACTCAACCTTACTTATTGAAAAATATGCATAGTGCATATGTTAGTCAGTTTATGACAGTAACATACTATCCCTGTTTTCCTAGGCTACCATAGCTTCTGATTTAAAAAAAAAATAGAGCCTTGGGGATTTTGAAACCGAAGTGATTATTCTCAAAAGCTATTTCGTAGCTCTGGGAGCATATAAGAGTTATTAGATTCCATGTTAAATTTCTCATTGTTTGTCCATTGTTTTCTTGTGCAATTCCTTTTCCTAATTCCATTTTAGATGTTTGGCCTTTATTAAACATAAATATTAGTATTGTTCAATCTTTAGAGACTTGCTTGTTGTTTTTTTTTTTAATTCATCACTATAATAGTGTGTTTATTATTCAGACAAACTATAAAGGCCCAGTTGTAGCAATTTGGCAGATAAGATCCAGCTAAACTTTCCTGTAACTGGGTGAATTTTGTTGTTTTTTTTCATTTCACAGGTGCTAATCTGAATGAAGAGGATTTTTTGTTATTGGAGCTCTTGAATTGGTTTAAGAGTGATTTTTTTCAATGGGTAAATACACTTCCTTGCTGCAAATGTGGTGGACAGACAATAACTAAAGAAAATTTACCACCCAGCGATGATGATCTGAGGTGGAGTGCAAATAGAGTTGAGAATCATTACTGTACCCAGTGCCAGTTCAGTAACAGATTCCCGAGGTGAGCGAGGTTTTCTTGAACGCTTGTTTTTTCATGTTCTATAAATTATTGAGAAATTGTTGATTGCATGAATAGTGATCACTTTAAGCAACACCCAGAAATTGTTCTTAGGTCTAGTTTATATTTTTCTGCCTGTCAACCTAAAGTATTGAATTGCTTTGAAAAAAATAAGATTGTTTTACTGCGTTTAAAGAAGGACCCAATTTTATACTGAATGTGTGACTGATCATAACTGTTTGATCAACTACAGTTTGTGAATACACTAGTTTAATTTGAAATATGCCATTACCAAAGGGTGTTTAAAAAAGAACTTTTTAGGGAGACTGCAAAATAGTGCATCCTACTTCTGATGACTATATAACAGCAGGTAATTCTAGAATTGTACCACTTCTGTAAACTGGACTTGGATATAATAAACTCCCAATTTATAAACTGGTTTTCACAATACAACAATCACATTGGTCTGCCCTCATGCATGCTTTTACCCTGGGATAAACAAAAGTCAGCTTTGGGTAAGGAATGGCAAGCTAGCTTTCATTATCATGGACTAAGAGTATGCATAAAGACAGATGCTAGAGTGTAGCTGTAAATTCCTATCCCCATTTATCTTAGGTTTGAACACTTATATTAAAGTATGGTCTCTGTGGGTGCCAGAGTTTCTGCATGTTATGGCTTTGGAACCCAGGAAATGAACGCCACTGCCACTCAGCCACCATCTCTTTGCTTACCACCAATTATTAGGGTCTTCAGTCTCTACCAGTGACTCAGATGAGCAGTGTCAGCGCATCCGCCACGTGCCCCCTTTTTCCTCGTAATTCCTGCCTGCCATGACTTGGATCTTAAAGAATGAAATAGGGAGGAAGTGGTTGTCACAAAAAGAAGTACCCGCGGGAAGTACCACGCTGAGTAAAATTGATTTTTAGTGCTTTTATTCCGTGGGTCTCTGTTGTTACAGGAAACTCCCCTTTTCGGGAAGCTGCAATCCAGCAGACTATTCTTGGGGGCCCCAGCCTCCTGGCCAGCCCCGTTGTAATAACCCAGTGCACAGAGGTCGCGCCAGGTCTTAGTCTCTGCCGTTACTTATTAGCCACTTGTTACGGCTGCTGTCTATCCCGTTATTGGCGGTAATTATTCAATTAACGGCTTGCTACAGCTGCTGCCTGCGGCTTTTCCCGGCAGAGCCGGCGTATGGGCTCCAAGGCTCTCCCACAGTCGGGACTTGCCTTCCCAGCTCTCAGCATCCCACTCCACTCAGGGTCCCAAAGCCACCCAAACTCTTCAGGGTCTAGGCAGGGGTCATTCCTCTCGCTGCCCCCTTTGACCCACCATAGCCTTTCCGTTCTTGGATGTCGGCTGCGGTTCCCACCCGCAGTGCGGCTCTGCTTCTCCCCACACTCACCGCAGCTCTCATGGACTCAACATAAGTTGAGGTGAGAATCCGGGTTCTGGGATCCCTCTGCTCCCGTTGATCCCACGTCGGTGTCCCTCTTCTCAGGTCCTTCTCTCTCTCTCTCTCACTCACTCTCAGTGGTGCCTGAAGGCATCCCTCCTTCACCCTCTTTTCTGCTTATTCTCAGAGTCTGGTCGCCATTGGTTCCTTAAGGGCCGGGGCCTGCCCCTGCGGGGTAATTATTTCCAGCTGCCCCCATCTCCTTAGCAACAAGGCCTCAAGGGAGACCCTGTTACAGGCAGCAAGGGAGAAGCAAGGACAAGTGGTGTCAGTGTTCGCCTCCTGAGTTCCAGAGCCACATCAACACAGCGGTTCCAGCAGCTATGCTAACAAGCTACCACCCTGTTGTTGGAGATGAGTAATTTGGCCTGCAAGAGAAGAAGCTCAGTGGGCAGGATCCACCCCATGGGACCAATTAACTTGTACAGACATAGTCGAAGGGTTTAATACAGGGAAGAATATACATTCTTGTTAAAGACTATTAACTTGTGTGAAGTTCAGAATTTATGACGACTGAAATGTTTGATTTTTCCTAGATATAATAATCCTGAGAAACTTCTGGAAACAAGACGTGGGCGATGTGGAGAGTGGGCTAACTGTTTTACACTGTGTTGCAGAGCTGTTGGGTTTGAAGCTAGATATGTCTGGGATTCAACAGGTATCAGTACTTTAGAACACTTTAATGCTAATTTAAGCATACATGCATACGTGAAAATGTGACTTGCAGTTATTAGATGTGAAGGTTCCTGTTAGTCAGCTTGTAACACCTAAAAGTTGGTGTTTATCCAATGATAAAATCTAAATCAGATTTCTATCTGGTTTAAGTAATTGCACTTGTTATATAAAATTTTCTGTCATCAGCAAATATAGGAGAATTTACTGGTTGCATTTTGATATTTAAGAAAGATTTTCTGAATGTATATGAGCTGAAAATGTAATCATTCCCCAAGGATGTTCCATCATGTGGTTCCCATTTTATAGATTTGAAAAATGTAAACATCTCAAACTGTAAGAGCACAAGACCCAGCTGCAACATTCTGTGTTTTCCCTTGGCTCCTCTTTCATGCAGATCATGTGTGGACTGAAGTATATTCTTCATCTCAGCAGAGATGGCTTCATTGTGACCCTTGTGAAAATGTCTGTGATAAGCCTCTTCTCTATGAGATTGGCTGGGGAAAGCAGCTCTCCTACATAATTGCATTCTCCAAGGATGAGGTAGGAGTAAGTGCAATAATGAAAAGGAATTTGCTGTAAGAAGGGAAGTACGTAAAGTATGCAATTTTAATGTGATCTCTTGGATTATTGTAAAGGAAGAAAGTGTCTGGATCAGATTGTGTAAAATACTCAATATGTAAAGTGGAACACAGGACTGGAAGGAGCTTTCTGGCCCATTGAGTCCACTTCCCTGTACTCAGAAGCAGATTTAGGATTTTGCAAAGTGGGGTCCAAGAACAGTACCTGGTACTCCATGCTCCCAGCCTTCCTTCTGTCTTGCCTCCCTCCATACCAGGGTGGGTAGTCCATGCCTCAAGAGCAGCAGCCAGGGAATTTTTTATGTCCCCAAAGCAGGTAAAAATTCTGCCCAATGGGCTAGAGAAGGAACAGGTACAGGTAAATAGACATTATGGTAACATACACTCAGGGAATACATAACAGGTAATAGGCATTAACACAGTAATACATGCATTCATCACCTTACGTACACCCCCACACACATCCAGAGGTGTCCCTAAAACCAGCATTTAGTCCTGAGATGGACTTGAATGCACATGCAGAATGAATTGGAGATGAGTCCCACTGCTTCAGTCCATCATGTGGCTGACTCATCCAGTGTGGTTCACAGCTCTGCCATGCCCCCTGCCATCTCTCTGGGTCTCTCTGTCCCTTCTGCTCTTCCAGTCGCTTCCTCTTCCTCTGGTCTTCTGGGAGTTGCAGTTCACATTACAATATATTATGATATGCTCAAAAGACCCTAGGAAAATAGCCATGTCCCACATTAGAGAAAGAGGCAAAACCCCCACAATCTATGCCAATCTGTGGAAACATTTATTCCTTACCCCAAATTTGGTGACCCATGTAACCCCGAATGAAAGAGCAAGACCCTTTAGTGAGGAAGCACCCAGTTCAAAATCCCCATAATTACTTATGGCCAAGATGAAGGCAACTCCCTCCTGGTAGCTTTAATTGGACAAAGTATTACCTGTGTTTTTATTGCTTTTTCTCTGCAATTTATGTCAGGTTGTTGATGTCACCTGGAGATACTCTTGTAAGCATGAGGAAGTACTTGCTAGAAGGATACATGTTGATGAAACAGCACTGCGTGAAACAATTAACAAACTTACTAAACTGGTATGTGGGTTTATTCAAGCTGAATTGTTAAATTGACATGTATTGGAAACAGACTATGTTAAGATTCAGGGAAAGGGTCCATAATTTATTATGCTTGTCAGTATCTTGATAAAAATGTTCTGTACAAGAATATCTTGTATTAGGAAGTTTTTCTCACTTTATCTCAACTACATAGTTGGTCCAATAAAGATATCACCCCAAGAATCCTTGCCTCTCACATTACTCCTGATTATAAGACTTATTTTTAACAGAACATTATGCATCTGCTAGTTAATATAGAGATTACAGATTTAGAAATGTGAATTTGAGCCTCAGTCTGGATTCATACTGAAGGATAACCTCAGCTGTAAATGAGTCAGTAGGTCTGGGAAGTCAAAGATGGACATGGTACTAGATACACCTGTCACGGGCTGAAGACATTGGCATTCCTTAACTGTGCTAGCCTGAAGGGATACTAGGCTGAGGTGGAACTTTCCTCTGTAACATAGAATTAAGTTACAATTATAGTATTTTTTCAGATAAGAGAGGATGGGGTTCTTATCTGTAAAGCAGCTATGTGTAAATAGCACCAATCTGTTGTCTGCATAGTGAAGGAGAAAAATACATTTCTGCTTTTTGTGCCTGAAGGCTCTGCGGAGAAAGCGAGAGAGATTCTGTTCTGTAATGTGCATCAACAGAAATGTTGAATAAATTCCAATTGGTTATACCTGTGTGAACTCACTGAAGGCAGTGAAGCTGCACAACATCACTTGGGGCATAATTGAAGACCATAGGGTTTATGGGTGTCAGAAAGCAGGGCCTAATTTGCCCTGCAGAAATTCTTATTACTTATAAGAGAAAACCCCAATGTGATTCTGAGCTCTCAGACTGTTCATAGGATTCTCATTTAAGAAAGTGAAAGTTTTTCATGTCAACTTTGCACATTTGACTTTATATCTTTGAAATGAAATCTGAAACCCCCAATTTCTGGTCCCTTTTTTAAGTATCTTTCTAGAAAAGAACTATGCTTTTTACCATGTAAAAAAAGAAAATATGGAATGTGATTCTTTTTCTACATAGCATACTCTTGACATAATTTACTGTAAGTGCAGCTGGCATGGTTTTACTTCTTAAAAAGATGGACTTTCTGCTGCATTTTTAGTGGTGTTGATTCCACTGTGAATTAATCCTTTCAGGAACCAAATGATTTTTTATGGTAGGGCTTAATTATTGAACCAAGATTGTTGCTAATGAGAACATTTCATCGTGTAAAACAAAGGGTTGACCCAGTAAACTTTCCTGCTTTCTAGTCACAGGCAAAAAAATATATTGAGATAGAGTTAATGGAGAAAAATACGTATTATTAACCTAGATTAAATACATTACAGGGATGATATAACAGTCCAGAATTTCGCATTTTAAATCCTAGATTTTCAGAGCGACAATTGATCTTAAAAATGATAAGGCATAGGAATACACTTGTAGGATACTAAAGCAACTTTAATTTTTCCCTTGTAATAACACTATGCAGTAGCCTTATCATTAGGATTGATGTACTGCAGCACACATGGTCCTACAGTAACATTTTTTAAATGAGTTTAATCTAGAATTTTCATGGGGTTTTCCTTTCCTATGTCATACCAGGGCAATATTGCAGTTGAAACTACTCTGAGATTTTTTTTTTTGTGCTTTTATTATTACAGAAACAGCGATCTTTGTCAGAAAGCAAAAGGAAAGAACTCCAGTACAGAATAATTGTGGAGCTTGTTGAGTTCATTTCTCCCAAAACTCCTAAACCTGGTGAACTTAGTGGAAGGACATCTGGTTCAATGGCTTGGAGAATAGCCAGAGGTGAAATTGATTCAGAGGTATTTTAAATTTGTGAACTGGTGATCATCTTAGAGGTGTCTAAAGTATTTGCTTCACTAGATACAGTTTAATGAGTAATATTTTTGTTTTTATTAAAGCTACAATATATTAAGAGCAGGAAATTTAAAAAACCTGCAAGTTACTTGGGCAATAAAGAAAAAATATTGATAATTGCTTCAGGAATTCTTAGTGGTCTAAATAATGAAGCCAAGGGGTAGCTTCCTACCATTTATTTCTTTTGTTAATTGGATGTAGTTCAGGAGTCACTGGACAGTGCAAGTGCAACCTCTGCTCCTCAGGAGAGATTAATATATATAATGAAATCTGGTTAATTAGACACTAGGATAACTTCTTTCTGCAGTCTTATTAGTCAGTGCGCTGAATCTCCACTAGAGTCTTACTGATTTGTGGACAAAACACTTTGGTTAATGTGTCATCACTTAATGTCTAATTAGTCCTTTCCAAATGTACATAAATACTACATCACAGTGGAATTTGCTCCTAATAATTAGTTAACTTAGAAGATGCTGACTCGAGCCCTCCACATCACCTGTTTACCTGTTGATAGCAACCTTTTTGAAGCACTGTCCCGTTTCATTTCGTCGAAACTGTTTCAACTCCTTTAGACGTTTCACCCAGAGGCTATAATGGGGAATCATGACAATACCTAAAACGTTGTCATTTGTTGTCTAATTCAGATGCAGATTGCAGAGATGGTAGCTCCTTCTGAGGGCACGAAGCCTGCCAAGTTCAGTGCCAAGATAGGTGCAGAGAAACTGCATCTCAAAATCCTGAAAGCAAAATTTTTTGGCAATGGCATCCTCCTCTCATCCGGGGTGCAGATCCAGGGGCTCGCATCCCCAGGAGGGCTGCAGGGCTGCGTCAGACTCCTCCCAGGGGTGCGTGCCCCCGGATCTGCACTGGATGCCAGGAGACAGTTGCTGCTGTCTGGGACCAGCAGTGGGTACAGCCCATGCCCAGTGCTGGGCTCCGTGGAGCTCAGTCTGGCAGCGGAAGGTGGAGTGCAGCCCCGGCTCTGCCCACATCTCGCTGCTGCGCTGTGCTCCAGTTGGCTCTGCCAGCCCCATGCAGCGCAGCCCAGCGACAGGAAGTGGTGCCGGTGCTGCAGTCTGCCTCCTGCCGCCAGCTTGAGCTCCATGGGGCTGGCAGAACCGACTGGAGTACAGCCCAGCAGCGGGAGGCAGAAAGAGTTTGTGCTGCCCTCTGATTGGCTCTGCCAGCCCCACGAAGCATAGCCTGGCAGGAGGAGTCAGGGAGAGCCAGGGTTGCGCTCCCTTCCAGGCTGAGCTACATGGAGCTGCAGAGCTGCTTGGAGTCCAGCCCTGGCTTTCCTCTGCCTCCCACCCCTGAGCTGCTTTGAAACTTGAAATGTTTTGAAAGTTTTGAAATGTTTTGAGTGCCCTCATTTCATTTTGAAGCTGTTTTGATGGTTTTTGTTTTGTTTTGATTTCGCTGTTTCTAGCTCGAAACGCGTTGAAACAGCTTCAAAATGAAACGTTGAAATTTCACATAGCCGTACTCCCTAGCATTCATACACTTCTAGTTTTCTTGGCTCAACAAAACAGATAATCAATCTTGCCATTTCTCCAGAATTAACTTCAGTTTTTGCAATGAGTGCATGTAACAATATAAATATCTTCAGCTGACCCTTGGTACTTATGATCATGCGATTCTTACAAAGCAAGCGCTTTGAAATTTTGTAGTAAGAAATTGTAGATTTAGCATTTATATCTATAATTATACAGTTATTTGAGGCAGACTACATATTTTTTGTTATATACATATTGTTTTCATTATAAATGCCCCCAGATCATTCTTTACTCTGTATCAGTATGACAGAAAAATATTTCTCACAAAGGGTTAAGAGCTTGTGCTACTGATAATTAGTCATCATTACCAAACCTTTGGAGTGATGAAATTTAATCAGATTTTACTGTATTTACATAATTTCTCCTCCCATCAAGTTTTTCAGCTATTTCCAAAAACCACATTTTGGTTACTTTTTTAAAATACTTTATACTGAGAGGTAGAATTTCCTAACACCTTAACTAGAGGTAACCCAGAGTGGCACACAAGTATAATTTTATTCCTGTCATTTTGCACATCATTTTCTGAGTGATTCTGTCATATGACATCAAAAGATTGATGAACTAATAAAACTGGTTAAGAGGAACTAATGGATTAAACAGCTGTGTTCAGTTTTGAGACAGTAGAGCTTATTTCAGTTCTCTGCAATTTGGTGGATTTTATTTCCATGTTGCTGAATCTTAGGATATGAGCTATTCTTAGAGTTGAATATACTATTTCTTGTTTTCTACCCCCCCCACACACACATTACAGGTATTGTACAATTAACTGGTTAATTGCACAGTTACCTTAAGACAAGCTACATGTGCAAAGTAGCTATAACACAATAATAAGCTCTAACCAGCTATACAGTTAGACCTGAAAGTATGTACTAACTTTATAAGTGGTTGCTGTCAAGCTTTAATTTGCACATGTAGCAGGGTCTCCCTATGGCAGGGTGCCCCATCAGCTGACAGGGCTCCCAGGTGC